AAGAAAACTGTGAAAAATAGAGCCAAAATTTGTAGCAAAAGACAGGGCTGCCAAGTAGATTTGCTTCTTTGATCCTCTCAGGATAAAGAAGGGATATGAGATAACCCAAGCTGCATTCCATATGGTTGCTTCACACAAGGAAATTGAAAGCAGTGGTTTCCAGAGAATGGAAGAACCAAGAACTGAATTTGCCAACCACCCACAGAGGTTTCAAATGACACTAAGTTCACACTTCTTTTGTTAACTATTTTTAGAAATTTGTCTATTTACTGTCTATACCTTTAAAGAAGTCATTTTATTCAAAATTTTATTCAAAATGACAGGTCTGGAAATATACTAAGTTAGTGCCTTCAATCCTTAATGTAAGAAAATGAAAATGTATTTGTATAATTTTTAATAATTTAAAATAAACAGCAACAAGCAAAGCAAGGTTTTGACTTTAGAAAGTTTTAAATGGATTAAGGGCTCAGAAAACATTGGAATATTGGACTCTGAAAATTAATATTTTGTAATTCATTTTAAAGAATGAATTTTTTTGTGGGAAAGAAGAATTGTTTTTGATACTGGAGACATACAAGACAAACAACTTATAATAGCATTCAGAGATAGTTTTGAGGAATTGCATTTGGATTTTGAATCAATAAGGTCAACTATGTTGTATTTTTTAAGGATTATGCTATTCCCAGAAGAAATTGTTACAGAAAAAGTTATGTCGCAAACTATAGCTGAGAACAACTTGAATAAAACTCGAAAAAGAATTCATCATCTGTGAAAAAACAAACTGGATGCGGCTTTAAAAATTAAAGTGGAAATGAAAATGACAATCCCAGGGAGCAACTGGAATAATTTCCTTTTGCTTGATTTACAAAAAAAAAGACTGTTTAAAGTTTTGAAGAAATTTGAAACAAGGATCAATCATATGAATGGATTAAAGAGCAAGACTAGTTTACATTACAAGAAGGATTATAAAGTTGGTTCACTTGAACAGGGTGAAAATGGGACATGTTGCTATTGTGAGTTGCTATTTTTGATCTGCTGACATCTGGAATGGAAAAATGTTATGTATTGGATCTGCTTACAGTTAACATGATATTTAAGTCTTTTTCCCTACAGTCACTTTGTGTATTCTAATCTGACAGGCTTTGTACTTAAAAAATTTTTCACTTAAAATAAGTATTTTTATGAGCTTATTTTCTTTAAAGAGAAATTATCTCTCTTTGTCATGTTAACTTTTAGTCTTTTGTTTATATTAGGATATTGGGATTTCTTTATGTCTCTTAATGTGGTTTTCCTTATAGCTAAGAGTTCAGAGATTGAATTTTTATTTAAAGAGATATGTTGTTATTTGGGATGGTTTCTCTTTGGATTTGCTGACATCTGAAGTGGAAAACGGTTTTATGATGAGTTTGATTACAGTTAAAGGTAATGTTTAAGCTTTTTTTCTCTATAGCTATTCTATGAATTCTAATCTGATGATAGCATTTAACTTGTATTTAATTGTTGTATTTAATTGTCTTTCTACTTAAAGTAAGAGTTATTTGTGAACTTGTTTTCTTTAAGGGAGAAATTCTCCTTTTTGTCAAATTAAATTTCAGACTTTTGTTCACAATATCACTAGAATATTGAGGTCACTTTAAATGTGGATTTTCCTACAGTTAAGAGTTGAGATGTTTATCTACGTTAAAGCTATTATTCTTCAGCTCTGGGCTGAAGAAGCTTCTTGGATTAGAAACGAAACATCTTCAAAAAAAAACAAGAAAGTCCAGTTGCTTTTTGAAAAAGCACCTTTGGGACAACCATGACCTGGATGACTGAGAATCTCCATAGACATTTATTCACCCAGTATTTTTATTATAGTATTTTTGAGTTTCCCATAAATCTTTTCAAAACTGGATTGTTTCCTTTTTGTTTGATATTCCATTTTCGGAATTTCTAGTATCATTTATACTGTGGTAGAATTACCTCTGGTCCAAATGAAATAGCTGATTTTGCTTAAATCGGATGATTCATTCCTCATAGCTTTCGATTTTGCCAACTATTGCTTGTACTTGTTGGTTTATGATTTCCAAGTCTTCTTTATATTTTCTGATGCTAAGCCAATATCTTTTTATTAGGCTTGTCCTGATCCTTGCATTTTTCAATTTTTGTTCTTTCATATTTTTTAAATTATTTGCTTCTGATCTTAATTTCTTTATTGTGGCCTCCAATCTGCTCTTCCACTTGGGACTGAATATGATTTTGATTTTGATTTTCTAATTTCAGTACTCAGTTCTTTCATATTCACCACTGTTGTACTGTAGTCAAGCTGATTGGTCTCTTCAATATATGTTATTTTAATCATTATTCATATCCTTCATTATAGGTGCCAGGTTTTTTTAAAAAAACTAGTATAATTATTGGATGTAATCCCCAAAATATGCTTTCTTTGCACTAGGCATTTAACAGATTTTTCCAAATACATAAAATGGAAAGGATATGCAACAATTTGATATTGAATAATAGCTGAAATAAAAGCCTGGAAAAATCCTGTTGATATGATGGAAGAACTACATTCACTAAACAATGTCAATCTACACTCTGCATGGAGAATAAATATCTTACACTAGGATAAGCATCCCACACCCTGTGTGCCACACAAATTCTCAGAAATTGCTGAAAAATAGGCCTGCCTATCTCAAGGGCAGCCAGGTTCAAAAAGATTCTGCTAGTATGCACACTGATTTGCAAACCATTTAAAAAAATCATTTCATTATGAGATTTCATTATGGCAAAAACATATAGTCTTTAAAATTAGGCCTTGGCACATCCCTAAATTAAAAATGTTATACGGCTATCTAAAAAGTTTTAAACTTTAGTGAAACGTTAACTATTAGCGTGGTAGAGGATCTATTTTTAAACTACATTGTCATCTATTGTTTTACATTATTCCATTCACAACCACTGCCAGCTGTCAAATTAGCAATGTAATTCATTTTGAAAATCATTAGAGCCTAAAACAGTCTGACAAGCAAAAGTGAGGAATACTAACAGAAGAATGGAACAAACATGAAAAATGTGATTCTGTTAGGCTTTTGAGACTATAATTGCAAAAGAAGCGGAATGTTAACTTTTTGCTCCCATCTTTAGCAATTCCACTTGAATTTTAAAAGGAAATTAAGGAAAGACAACCCCTAGCCAAAAAAAAAAAAAAAAAAAAAGGTCAGTAAAAATGAACTGAAGTATTTAAAGAAAATTGGCAGGGTCACACTTGTAGCTTTCCTAATACAAAAAAAAATTAAAAATAAAGCTTTTGAGTGTGGTAAAGTCAATACAAAATTTTGTTCATATTTCAAGCACTGGGGAAGGAATATGAATATACATACAGACAGAAAGAGAGAGGTGGAGGAAGGGAGGAAGAGGGAATAACGTGGGGAGATGACATTCCTCCAAACATCCCTATTAGAAAGCAGAGATTGTTGACAGAATATCCCAGAGCTAAATCCTGCTTTCTTATACCATAATCTGGCCTTGGTAGTAAAATACAGTAGAAAGAAGCTTTACTTTCTGCAAAAAAAGATGAAGAAAACAAAACAAATGGAAACTCTGAGCTTCTGGATCTGTAGCCTGATTTAGTTGGAAAAGGTATATCTAAAGAAAGAATTAAAAGAAAACATTATAAATATCACAGTTGAATAACAGGTAAGATATCGTGAAACAGATTTTTTTATTCTGTTGCAAAACAATTATTGTCTCTTCTTGCAGCTAGAGCTAGCCTTCTTTCCTTCCTTCCAGCAGTTTTTCAATTTTTTTCCCCCAAAAAGGAAATGGTAGCTTGGATCTCCATAATGTCAGATTCTGAATATGGGAAATCTACTCCTGGTCTCTGCCCTGGTTTTAGCAACAAAAGTATTTGATCATGCTCAAAGGAGAAGAGAGCAAATTCAGCCTTATTGATTTTCTGCATGTTTCAACAGCGTTTAATCTATCTGATCATGCTACTCATTGAAAGAGTTTTTTCTTGGCCTGATATCAAGCAATTATGGGTAAAGAATTTACAATTGCAGACTTCCCTGTAAAGCTAGGAGAAAAAGAATAATTAGAAAGTCTGTCCCCTTATGCAAACACAGAAATACTGATTCTAAATTGAAAATAACTCACTTGCCGTAATCCTTATATCAATAATGCTTTCATCTAAGTAAAGATTGCTAAAGAGAATTTTAGGAGATTTGTGTTTGGAAAGAATCCCTTTTTTATTCAAGTCTGACAGTCTCACAATGACTGATCAGTTGGAGGCTAGATGAATCTGCCTTAGGACCACATCTACTAGGATTTCATTATCTAATATCTAGCAATGAAGAAGGAAGCTACACACAAAAAAATCATAAAATAGGCCCACAGATTGGGCTTAATATTTATCTAAAACAAGCTCGAGAGAGGTATAAAATCAGATTGGATCAGTGGTTGCATCAACAGTATTGAAAGCAGGAAAAAGTTCAGTATGTGTCCCAGTCTACACTTCCTGTTTATGGTTTACAATAAAATATGCAGATATCTTGGATTCTTATTTTTCTAAAGATGAAACTAGCATGTCCTGAGACGTGCCCTGGTGGCACAGTGGTTAGAATGCAGTATTGCAGGCAAACTCTGGCCATAGCCTGGAGTTTGATCTTGATGGGGTTCAAGGTTGACTCAGCCTTCCACTCTTCTGAGGTCAGTAAAATAAAGACCCAGATTGTTGGGGGCAATATGCTGATATTGTAAACTGCTCAGAGGGTACTTTAAAGTACTATGGGGCAATATAGAAGTCTAAATGTTATTGCTATTTGCAAATCTGTGAATGTTGCACTCAGAAGATAGCACAAAGAATCTATTCACCCTCTACCTTCGGCATTGTGACCAGACTCCATTCATCCTTTATTTTAGTATTAGCTTTTACTCCACCGTTACCATTTTTAAAACTGTTAGACCTTTTTGTAATTTACCAAAACAATATTCCCCCCAGAAGAAAATTGCATTCTTACCTTGTCTTTATTTTCAGAGCCAGAGGCTTCAAGTTTGGTTCGGATCACAAAAGGGGTGGAGAGTCTCAGAAGGACACGATCAAACATGGCTGCAATCTTTGGAGAAACAATTTCAAAGCAGTCCTGGAATTTCAATGTCTTATGAACCTCACACTTGAGCTGCTTCCTCAGTCCTTCACCCAGCTGTAGTACCAGCATGCTGGGATCAAACATCAGATGGAAAGGAAAAGCACGGCAGAAGGTGTTAATGCTTATCCTCAGATCTGAGGGGGATTGAGATGTCCCCAGAGGAAGCGCTTTTGTGATATGTGCACTTTCATGCTCTTTGATAATAAAAGTGAGACAGCTGCAGTTGCCTGGGTTTAGGTCCTCAGAACATAGTTTATCGTTTACAATCTGCTCCACTTCAACATCCATTTGGTAGATCTTCCTTGCTGCTGCCTTCACCATGCCCATCATGGCAAACCCAACAATCTGATGGGGATGGAAGTAGTGAAGCATAAGGTTGCCTTCAGGGAGCTCTTTGCATAGGAAAGAAGGGGATTCTGAAGTGACCTGCCTCCCAAACGAAGTCCTTATGTGCTCCAACAAAGCATCAAAGCCATTAAAAAAATCTTGCAAGGTGCCACCCACAGCTCGAAGAACTCTCTCATTCTCATTGAAGCAGATATTGAAGAATTCAGCCCCAAATTTCTCTTGTAGCTCCTCAAACTTTAAACCTGGAATAGACATAGGTCAGTATGAAATCACAGTGGAAATGATCCTAGGAGAGACAAAAGTTTGGGAAAAGAGATCAGCCTGGTAAGCTAGTGATAGACATTTGGGAGGAGAGTCTAGCTGTATAGAAATGTATCAAAGAATGGGATAGTTAAAATGAGTCAGAACCCAGAACAGTTACAAGACCTGGAATCACCAAACAGGTGTAGTTGGATGGCCCTAGCTCACAGAATAAATAAAATGGGATAAGCAGGCAATTATTGTAAGGCATGGCTTTTGAAGTGAAAATAGCAAAAAGTATGGATAGCAATCATATGCAGCTTAAAAAGGTCTTATCTCTGATATATTTAATGACAGGAAGCAGAAATCAACATTAAGACAAACACAAACATTAAAAATTAATTATTAACATAATGAATAAAGCTAGTGTTAGTTGATTTTAACCATTGCAGATTAGGGGCTTTAGAGCAGTGATGGCGAACCTTTTAGAGACTGAGTGCCCAAACTGCAACCCAAAACCCACTTATGCATCGTTGAGTGCTGGGTGGGTGTGGCCCATTGGCTGGGTGTGGCCAATTGGGTGGGTGTGGCTAATTGGGTGGGCGTGGCTGCGGTGGTAATGGCAGACTGGGGGGGACTAAAAAGTTCAATCAATCAATTCCAACTTTGCAAGATCTTTTTTTCCCGCCAGAAGTTGAAATTGACTGATTGAATTTTTTTTTTTTGGGCACATGGTGGTGGAGGCCTAAAGTGAAAAGGTTTGATAAAACCCAGCTGAAGGTCTAGGACTGGGGCGACGGCGCGCATGCCCACCCGTGCCATAGGTTCGCCACCACTGCCTTAGAGGTAACAGTAAATCCAAAATGCATGTTCTCCAGATGTTCAAAATGGGAAATGTAAACATTTTCCCTGTGTAAACACACAGGGCTTAAGAGAGCATGCAGATAATGCTCTTCCCTCTTAAGAAGGAAAAAGAGAAATACCTACTCTAAGGATTGAAAGGTGTCAAAAGTCTGATTTTAAAAAAAAGATGTTCCTTTCTACATGATCTTTGAGTATTTAGAGCAACTGCACAATCTCAGGTTAGGATGAAGATCAATTTACAAATACTATAGCTAGAAGAATTATCTTTATAGGACAATAACCCTATTAAGCTACCTTACAATAAAGATCTTACCTTATGCATTTCACTCTCAACAGCTATCATCTTATTGAAGCTTCTCTGACAAATCAAAAAGAATCTACCTTCCTATAAACTCAAAATAAATGTTCACTTCCTGAATTCTAGGATGATAAAGAACTGGTTATGGAATTCTACTGATTTAAGAGATGCATCATATCCCCTCCCAGTCAACTCTGAGTGAGATGGGTCAAAAATATGATTGATAAATAACAAACTTTTCTTAAGTCTAACATATTTTTGTATCGTTTAGTTTCTAGTTATTTCGAGTTATTTCTGTCAGTTTTTCAAAACATGGTACCCAGAACTAAGCATAGAATGTAAAATGGATCTTAGAATTCAGAATCTCTAGAAACTATACTTTTATTATTGTACCCTAAAATTCCATTTACTTGACCTTTTTTTTGCAGGCATGTCATACCACAAATTATTTATTTATTGGTTTGTATGTTTATTACTTATTTATTAAATTTATATGCTGACCATCTCATTTTGAAGAGACTGTGGGTGGCTTATAGCAAATTCATGTTCCATTTGTCATTATTTACCAATCCAGAATCCTTTTCATCAGTGCTATTCACTTTTGAGTCATCTGCAAATTTATTAAGTATTTCTCTCCACCTCCTCATCCACGTCATCATTAAAATGAAGAGTACCAAGCACACAATTGATAGTCTTTAACTTTCTTTGAAGAGGACTTGTTAAGAATTAAGTACAATCTCTTGAGTCTGCTATGTAGACACCTAACTGCAATTCCATCCAACCCAAATTTGCACAGCCTGCTAATCAGAATTCCTATATTTAAGTTGCTTAATTTGAACAGAAACAACCTTCTGCTTAGATACACATTTATTTCCAAACAAAAGTCAAAGTGGAAAATAATAATAGAGTACCAAGAATATTTGCTGTACGCTGGAGAATTCCTGAGACATCTTCAGTTTCATCATTGCCAGAATGGTCTGCGTAGGAGCATCGGTTGGAAATATTGTGGAAATTCTTTTCAGCATCCCTATAACTAGAAAGAAACATACAATTGGTGGTTTATGGTAGCAAAACAAAGACCATCTGAGTATTTGAAACAACAATTCTTTCTGAGGAAGAATGATCATTCTTTTTGAAAACATAATCTAATACAGAATTTTTCAACCTTGGCAACTTAAAGATGTGTGAACAACAACTCCTAGAATGCTGAGTGTTGAAGTCCACAACCTTCAAGCTGCAAAGGCTGAGAAAGACTGATCTAGTACTTCCATCTTTTTTATGGAAATGAACCAGCAATCAAATGCAACAAGCAAGAAAGCGGAATCTGAAGATCCATATTTGTCCACGCATGTATAACATATTTCTCCTTCCTAAAACAGAAAAAATGTTGTAGTTTTCAAGTACTTCCTTGCAGGTTATCTAACAGGGAAGCTTATAGCCCTCATTGATATTCTGAACAAAATAAAGAAGAAGAAACAACACTAAATGGGGAATATACGCACATATATCATCTTAACTCTTGAGGTCTAGGAATGTGAATTTCAAAAGAAGAATGGACCCTTTGCTCTAGTTTCCACTCCTTTTCTTCCATATCTGTTCTATACTTGACATCAAACTATGAGCAAGTTTGCAAAGGTGATTCCCTAAGCAGCAGCTTCTTCTACTATTCTAGCCTGAGGTACTTTCCTGACGTGTCTGAATTGTTAACTAAGGAGAGTTGAAAGGATAGCTTGACTAAAAGTCCACAAGGATAAATATCTAAAACTTGGGAAACCTCAGAAGCTTGTGCTGAATTTTAACACATACTTCTAACCTAACCTGAAGAGTATGCCAAAGAATCAAGGGCATAATTGGAAACAACAAGTATTATTTGCTTAATCAATATAACTCCACTGCTTAATCAATACAGCTCTGGCAAGTGTCTCATCCATACAATATTGTAGTGAGAGCCAGCAGTAGCTGTTAGATCCAATTCTACCTTTAAGCAATGGAATAATCACCTCCAGCTGCAGATGTTTGGTTATCTTTCAGAACAAGGATTTATTATTATTGTGAGTATATTGCAGTATATGGAGATTGGTACTCTGAAATTTTCTGTCTCATGAGACAAAGTAATTTGGTGAGCATGACTATCATGCACCTTCAGTTGGGGAGCAAAATGGCAACAAATAATAGACAGTCAATGCAGACTAGGGAAAACAAAAATAGATACAATGAGATGGTGCCAATTAGTTTTATGAAGCATCTGTTGCTTGATCATATTATAAATTGAAGCTGCCTGTTACTCAGTTGAATCTAAATATCAATATGAGTGATCAATCTTTTATGGCTTTGTTTGAAAGTCAGTCAGTGAATTTCTAATGGCAAAGGTGACTTGAACCAAGGTGTTCCCAGTCATACTCCAACACCTTAACTACCATGCCATGCTGGCTTGAGTTCTGCTTGTAAAACAAAAGAAGGACACAACTCAGCAAATTCATAAGTACATCAAAGGCTTCCAATGCACAAAATTCAAAATTCAATTCTTATATTTCTAATTAATGAAAGATTAGGTAGCAGCCAGTAATGAAAGGAGACCCACTTCTGTAATGCTGGAAGGTTGTTTTTAGTCACAACTTATTTGGACATAACTGGACATATTTAGCCATTCACCTGGTGCCTTATTAGGCAACTGTTTATAGTATTCAGTAGCCTACCTCCATCTGTTGCCCTATAGATATGTTGGAAATAATAGCACTATGGCCAAGAGAAAAATACTGTCGGAAATATAATGCAAAACAGACAGGAAAGAGAAAGTTGCAATACACTGATTTAATAATAACTTTTATTTTTATTTTACTTATCCAATTTATATAGCCACTCATCTCAAATCACTCTTGTATATGTATACGATCATAAAATCATATAAAACCAGATTACAGATACAACACAATCTCTCTCTTTCCCTCTAGAGTAGGTAAGAAAAGTATAATCCATAGATATTAACATAACCAGGAAACAAGGTCCTTAGCCCACTTGGGAGCTCAGGGTTATTTTATTTCACTTTATTTTATTTTATTATTTATTATCATTTGTATAGAGCAATGATGGAGAACCTTTTAGAGACTGAGTGCCCAAAAACTGGCCCCGCCCCTGCTCCACCCCCTGCCCTGCCCCTGCTCCTCCCCCCATCCCCTGCCCCGCCTGCCCGCAGGGCCACTCACCACCTTCAGGGCCCACCGCAGATCACCCAGGCAGCCCAGCAGCGCTATGGCGGTCATGCCCTCTGCCCGCACCCTGCAGCATCAACTGTGCATGATGGGGTGTGAGGGCAGAGTCTTGTCTACGCTGCCTGGCTGCCATGTCCTTGGCTGCGCTGCTCCATGTGGACCACGCTCAGGGGCAACTCTCCTTCAGGGGGGCTGCTGGAGAGAAGGGAGTTGCGGGGGGAGGCATGTGTGCCCACAGAGAGGGCTCCGAGTGCCACCTCTGGCACCCGTGCCATAGGTTCACCACCACTGGTATAGAGCACGGTGGGTCACATGGTTAGGATGCTCGATTGTAGGTTAGCAAGCCCGTGTTCAAGACCCAAGTGCTGCTGCATGGTGGGGTGAGCTCTCCTCATTTGCTCCAGCTCTGTTGATGGGGACATTAAAGGAGCCTTCATGGGTATCCTCCAGGCAACGATGATAACACCCAGAAATACCTTAAATGGTGCCTCCTACACTAACGGGAGGGGGGATCATTTGTATGCCATCAACAGAGCTTCATTAACATCTCTTAACAATAAAATATTCACAAATGTGCTCACTTATCATGTGGACACTTAATATCTAAAACCATAAAACTGTCACCTCCAGGGAAAACTATCAGTCAGTATTCCTTTAAACCTATCCTCCAGATGTTCAATAAAAGATGATGGTCTTTTACCTGCTTTTAGAAAGCAAGAAGGTATCCTCATTTTAAGAACACAAAAAATAATGGAATTCTATAACAAAATTCCAAAGAATTAAAATTCTAAGAGATAAAAAAAAAATCTCTGTATATTGATGACAAGTTTACCAACAGATCATGCTTTACAGCATCATGGGATGGGAAGATTCTACTTAAGGAGATTGTCCTGAAAATATGAGGACTTTAACCTAGAAGGGCTATATAAACCAGTACCTTGATTTGCATCCAGAAACCTACTACCAGCTCCTGCAAAATGACTGTGATTCTGTTGAACTGGGCCAGGTCTGTCAACAATTGGACATTTGTGTTTTAGGTGAGCTGTGATTTCTGGGTAGTCTTTGAAGGTTGTCCTAAAGCCCAGCCAACCCACCAAGAGACAATGCATGAGTGACTTTGCCAAAACTCCTGTTGCAAAAATGGCAACATCTAGCATACAAGCTGAAGACTCTCTTTCTCTGTTATATACAACTACTGTTCCAGTAAAAGCTGTAAGTCCAATGGGAGAAAAAAAATTCTAGACCTTACCAAGAACTAAAAATGGAGTTTTATTGTGTCTAACCACTGTCTAGACAGCAGTTATTCCATCTGAAGAAAATTTAATCTCACTCCAATCCTTCATATTTGGATCAGAATACTATGATCTAATGGTACTGGATGTTCTCCAGTCCTACTAGATGCGCTCCGGTCCTGCTAAAGAATTAGCAGGACTATAGGGTTGCCGTCTTTTCTTTTTAAGTCCTGCTGCAGCTTATCTACAAAGAAATTAATGGAACTGAAGACTGAAGATTGAAGACTGAAACTCAACTGGAAGGATTGCAATTAATCTGCATCTTCCAAGTTCTTCTATGGACAAATCCCAATCACTTTCTCAACAACCCTCCTGCAGATCAGAAGGTTAGAGACCAGATGAGAGCTTGTACAACCTCCAAATGGAGGATATTTTCAGAGGCAGCACATAGCCTTTAAGACAGTCAGTGAAACTTCCTCCTCTAAAGAAGTATTCCCCATCCCTTGAATCCAAATATCTATTCTTTCCTGGGCAATTCAAGTAAGTCAGAGAGGTGGTGAATCCAGCCTCTGCTGCTTGTCTCACACTACCCTGTCTACCTCTTCAGACTCCACAGACTCAAAAGAAGGCTGGATGATATCATAGGGCACTGTTACAGTGACCTCTGCAGTAGAGATGTGAGATATAATAGCAGAGACTTCCAAGGTAAAGCCAACTTCTTGCCAATTTATTACTGATTCTGGATATTGTTAAAGGAGCTATTGGTATTTGCACTTAATTGGTATTTGCATTTAATTAATACAGGGTTCTCTGAAGTGGTTAATATTGACCCCACGACTCAATAGGACTATCCAAGGGTAAATATTGTTGTTATTTCTATTCATAGTAACATTAGTTAAAGTAGTTATGGCAAGGTATCCATTGAATGAGTTGTAATTATTGAATATATTACTGCAACTTTTTTGGTTGTTCATTTATTGAAGAATCGTGGCAAGTTACTGTAAAAAAATAAATAAATAGAGCAGGTGATAATTTCCCCTAAACTAGATTGTAAATAGGTTCTAGGAAAAATAATTTTCTTCAAAGCTTACTTTAATGTGAATATTATTCCCTCCCATTGCTTGTGGCCTGGAATGAGAAAGGAAAATGTGTGTGACATTTTACTTCATTTGCCTGCTAGCCACTGCTGTTTAAAAATTCCAGTAAGATTGAAGGGAAAGTTTAGAACAGTGGTTCTCAACCTGTGGGTCGGGACCCCATTTGGGGTCGAATGACCATTTCACGGGGGTCGCCAAACAACGCAGTCCGCCATTTTTTTCCCCTTTTCCTTAGCTGTGCTACTCCCTTTTATTCTATTGGCTTTTGAAAGCCAATAGAATAGACTCTCTTGAATAGAGTCTAATTCTATTGGCTTTCAAAAGCCAATAGGAATTGTCCAGGCTGTCTCTGCCCTGCTGAGCCCACCAAAAGTCCCATTCTGCAAACGGTGCTGCACCAGTTGAGTAGTCCTTGACTTATGACCGGTTGAGTAGTCCTCGACTTACGACCGGTTGGGGGTTGCGGCATTAAAAAGGTTGAGAACCACTGGTTTAGAACAATATATTAAATCCAACCACAAAAGTATTTAGAAGTATTTAAAGGGCATTGCATGAGCCTCCCTGAAACGTTTTGAACCTAAGTGGTACAATCTTTATGGCATGATGTCTTAGTGCACAGTTCCCTGCATAGAGAAGAACTATAAAGGAGCACAAAATGGAACAAAAAACGAAGAGGGGGTATGTTGGCAGCAGTTTCCTTAAATTTTTGCATCAATATGTTTTATTGTGTCAAGGAAAAGGTCAAATTTTTAATTGCTTATCATAGTCTTGTTGCTTAGTTTGAGAGAGTTTCACTATTTCCTTACAAAATTATAAAACAAAGAAAAGAAAAAGAGTATGACAGATCTATTTGGGATTGAAGAAAGGTATTACAAAAATTGTCAATGAAGTACGTGTTAATGATACATTAAAAATGTACTTCCTACATCCTATTGAAATAAATAAAATCTACATAAACAAAATATTGTTTTCGCACCAACAACTTTCTATGAAACCGCTCAAGTGTTGCATCTTAGGGCATCATGACTGTCTTTGCATCACAAACTTTGTTTCCTGAATTAATCCATTTTGGATATACAAATGGTTTAAACCATAAATTGACTAAATTGGCTGGATTTACATCTCTCAAAAAAACTCAAAAGGGTTATCACCAGGCAAACTTGACAACTTGTGCAATAGTCAATAGATTCTTAAGTACATTGTATGAACATATCTCATTTATACCTTTCTCCAATCAGAAACTCATTTGGATTTTTTTTAATTGAATTGCCAGAATTCCTACTCCTAATTCAATTTAAGGGCACCTGGTTGGTAAAGCTACCATAAGGCAATATCTTGGCAATCAGCAATTAGTTTTTATAGCTACCCATTCACTGATCTATCTCTATACTCCTTTTGGAGTTTTGAAGAAATCGGTTCTACTTACCCAATAACTTGATGCTCATAATGTTGTAGTGTCCTCTGGAGAGTCTGCCTTATGGTCTGTGGCTACAGAATAAACAAAGAAATAATAATAAAAATGTTATCAGCAGTTTCTCAGTCAGCCTAGCTCTCAGCATGGTGTCTGAACAGAGGTGACTACTGATATTATTGCTTAATCTAATGTATATTTTTCCAATTACATATTTTTTCTTCCCCTTCCACATCTGTTGTGCCTCCTCCAGAGAAATGTGAAGAAAGCTGCCCAGAAGTAGCAAGCTGTTTTTATTCAACAAACACATCAATATTTCAAGACTCTTCCTGATATTTTAGTCCTCCGTTAAATCAGTTTCTTTAGCATCAGTGTAACCAAATACAAAAAGCTGCAAAAGGAAAACATGATGTGTACAGAATATTATGCTAGTCACTTGGGGCCAAGCTTATACATCTCACCACACGTTTGCTCTCAACTAAGTCTCTCAAGACTAGTCGCAGTGCTGAAAGTTTCTTCTGCATTATTTTCAGTGACATTATACCGTTTTTTCTATCATTTTACAGTGGTGGAAGGTTGCCCTGTTCTTACTGGCAAAATCAGTAACTTTTCACATTTCAACTCACAGGTAGGCAACTTGGTGATAGTGGAACTCAACTCAAAGGTTTCCTGCCAGGCTCCCTTTGCCATCTGAATTGTTTTACAAAGATTATTTTGTTTAAAGCATAAATGAAACGAGGTCTACTGCGCTGAAAAGTGTATCTATCACAGTCTTCATTTATAAAACTGTTTTTGGAATTCTGCATCAACCATTCCAAGTAGATAACATAAATAAAATAAAATAAAATAAAAACAGAGGGTGTATTATAGCCCAATCTTGCCTTTTTAAATGTTACCAACCTGCCTAGAAAAAAAAGGAAACGATGGGATGAAACTGAGCATCTGGGAAAGAAGTTGGAAGGTTGAAATAATGACCTTGTCTCTGGCAGCAATGGTGGCCATTTGGTGTGAATGTCCATAATATCCTCTCATAATTCCAAATATGTCCATCTGCTCAGAAAGGAAGGTTAACCCTTGCTTCCGTTAAACCCTCTTAGAAGAGAACTCCTATCCAGGTCAGAAGCAGAGACAATGAAGAAAGATGTGAAAAGTGATGGAGACCCCAGGAGTCTTTGCTTATGCATGCATAAGCTCAAAACACTTGAAATCAAAAAGGAATTATAAAGAAATTCCAAACAACCCTAACAATGAAACAGATATCTGGAAGCCTCTTTCACAAGAAAATCTGTAGGAACATAGAAGACAAATTTCTGCATGCAGCATTTCATGTGGTTTTTAGATTATAACCTTATCCATATAAAAGATAAAGATTCCCTCAAGTCAAGCTTGACTCCTGCTGATTTCTTAGAAAAGTCCATATAATTTTATTGGCAACAGTATAAAATGGTTTGCCACTATCTTCTTAGATGGCTTTTTAAACCAGGCTCAGCTATGAAATTTCCTGCTGGTCTCTGTCTAATTTCTAACTCGCTCCAACCCTGCTTTTTTTCTGAGGTCAACCAAGTATGGCTGGATGCTTGCTGTAATATAGAGGCTCCCAGATGACTTCATAAGACACAAATTGGAATCCATCTCACTGGTCTTCGACAAGTGGGATAATTTGGCAACAAAAGCAAGTTATTTTGTCATGCCAATAGAATACAACCCTTTGTTTTCTCCCCAACAGTAAATAACCACCATTTTTTTAGCAAAATTGTATAATGTTGGGACTTGAGGCACTATTGCGATGAGGCAAATTACTCACTCTCCCAGTAACAGATGATCTGCCTCCAGCATCAGAAACTTCCTAACACAAGGACTGCAGAGACAAATGGAACCTCTTTTCAGCACAATTGCTGAAACTTATAGCTTTGGAGAAATAAATTCACAAAACCTCTAGTACAAATCCTAGGAGGAGGAGTCCAGACCTATTCATCTGCACGAAACAACCTCACTATTTTGCATTACCACTCTATTTCCAAAACATTAATCCTTATCCACTATAGATTTGAATGTGAGTAAAAGGAAAGGGCACAAGTCCCTATTCAGAAGGCTTGTCTATGATTGTTGTTGGATGGAAACAATATACCACTGTCATTCCATTGCTTCTAAAGAAGAGGCACATTTAGAAGGAAATTACAAGAAAAACAACTCCTACATTTGGAGAGGTAAACATTGCTTCTCTTCCTTCTTGGTGCCTGAAGATCATATCAGTCTTGAGTAAACAAAAAACACACACCCAGTTTCAAAAAGCAAATTTAGATCAGACGGCACTACCACCAGAGTCACAGACTATTTCCTGACATTTTATAATCTGTCTGTTACAGTATTCTACTATTATACTGTTTCTTAACCAAGGCAATGATTAGCGGTGTGGTCTTCAACTCCCACGATTGATCAACCACAATTTATCTTTAACAACAGCAGCACATAAATGCAGACAATCCATACGATTTCTCATCATGTGATGGAATATAGAAAGGAGATAAATTCCAAGAAGGGAGGGGATGCAGTCTAGAGGAGTAAGAGGCAATTCAGTCCAGATATTTTGTGTGAGAGAAGAGGGTGAAACTACTTAATAGTTTCCGGTGAATATGGTAGATACAGATAATAGAGTCCTCAGTCTGTCAAGATTCTGTCTATAGGTGAGGAAACAAAAAGAACTCAGTTTGGCAGAATTAGCACGTCATCTCGGTTTTTGGGCCTGACAGATATCATCCCTACGCTGAGTCCACAATTAGTAGAAATCGACGTTAGCAATTTACCTGCATTGTGATGGGCAGTTTAGCTACACTTGAAAAATAAAAGGAGAAAATACATTTAAGTCTTTTTAAAAGTTGCATTTTTAAATTCTGCATCAAGCAATTACACCTGCTCTCAGTAGGAGCCAAATTTACCCTCTCAAGAAACCTTTAAAAAGAATCCGATGTGCTCTCACAAAAGAAATTAACAAAAGCTCCATCCAAATAAGGCCACACACAAGGAAACCACACTTTCCCATTTGGAGAGGCAGGTGTTTAAATCGAAAGGACCTGATAGGGTAGAAATTCTCCTTGGATGCAGCTAAAAGAAAAGACAATTTTGTGGCAACACAACACGCTGATTCATACTGTGAAGAAATGAATGGATAAAGAACATGAAGTTCATCTCTAAAATTTAAACCACCAATAAACTGCCTTTCATCTTGAAAGCTAGGGTCAGTTTGACCAGCTGCCAGCTTCTGCACCATCAGAATAAAAGATTTAAAAGCAACATTCATTTAACCCCCACAAAATACAAACAATTTTCCTTAAGCACTGACTGTGTTTTACCTGCTTTCCAGCACTGTAACTTTTTTTAATCTACCTTCATCTACTTTTTGGATTCCCTGAATTTTCAGGTTTCCAATCAGATATCTTTGCAATTAAAAAAAAGCAGGAGGCTGTAATGGATAGAAGCAAGAGGGAGATTTTCTTCCTGGCTGGATGTAATCGTGATTTCTATATTTAAGATATTCAACAATCCTCTTTTTTTTGCCTATTTGATTAACAGAGACTTCCCCAATGTGCTGCTCTCCCAATTAATTGGTCTTCAGTTTCCATAACGCACAACTGTAATTTATAGACATTATGAAACTGGAGCATTTGACATCTAGGAGGCACCAGATATGGCCTCACCAGGCTTGCCTAAGATTATAGAATTGTAAGTAAAATAAACTGGAGGGGCAGGCTGAAAAAAGCTAATCATATGTTTCCTTCATTTCTATGAGGGAGACACTTAGGTCTAGCACAGAATTACAAATGTCAGGTAATCACCCAAGTCTCTGCAATAAATCTCTGTATAAGACTTTCATCCCTCAGTCTGCAGCTTTCACAGGAAGTCAAGAATAAGCCATGAATAGAATAGCAGATGCAGTTAATCCCAGTAATGGTAAAAATCAGTACCTACAAAGTCAAAAAACCTAGCAGTTTATTCAGATATGTCTTATCTGTTCCCATCTCCTGCCTTTATGTCACAAAGAGTAATAGTCCCTCTTTCTTCAAGCTTTTCCATTAGGCCCACCTGCAAATTATTTTCAAAATGGCTTCCCTTTCCAGTTTTATCCTGGGCACAGATAAAACAAAACCTTCTTGCCACTATATAAGTTAGCCTTGGACATTTTCCTGCATGACCCAAGATTGGAAAAGATACGTGGGTGTGTTTGATGTACCAAATTACATGGTCATTAGACTAAAGTGAACTTGGATCCCTAAAATGTACCCAGAATTGTCCTTCCTTCTTTTCTCAAGGGCTTCCAGGCATGCACTTATGGCACCCCAGCTGTTGAAGTACTGAAGATCCTAGCAATGCCATCTAGAAAAGTTACTTTTGGTGATTATGAGAGAAGACATTTTAAAAAGAGGAAAATCAAACTGCTCTTTAGTTTTACTATTTGCTATGATAGTTGAGCTGATCAGAGCAGAAACACAGAATGTTCTAAAGTTCAACTGGAGAATATTCAAATTCCAGAGAACCAGGTGTTCTCATGATACAGGAAGAAACTCCTCTGCTGAAATAAAATAGACCAGACCTGAATGAGAGACTACAAGAGACATTTTGTATGGAACTGCTTGAGTTCCATGATAGAAACAAGGCATGATATAAAGCTTAAGATAGAGCAGAGTGGCTCATGCAGTTAGCACGCTGGTATCAACGCTGCTAATATTGAATATTCTTGCTTTGACAAAATATGCAGAACTGTCTGGTATTTTTAGAGTTAATTCAGATGACAGAGAAAAGGGAGGGGAAATAACAAAAGCCTGGGAAAAGGAACGGAAGTGAATCTCTGCCCTCTGGGCTAATTGGAAGATGTGACTTGTGACTGCAAGATAAGGGAGGGGTTTAGCAAGAAAAGTTAAATGCCAGCAAGAGGAATTCAGATTCTGGCATAAACCTCCATGATGTGACATCAGTTTGTAACACTGTTAATAAAGGCTTTAGGATAAACATGCCTGGAGGTTCTTTGAAGTGTTTCATTAGTCGGGACCATGACAGCTGGGTTGAAAGTTAGCAAGCCCAT